GCTTCTAGAACCCGGGACCCCGACAAAGATCACTGCTACTGTCCCCTTGGATTTTTGGAATCCCTTATCTTCATGGTTGTCTTCATCTTTTTTCTGATTGTCTTCTTTGTTGTTCTCCTTATTATCTTTTCTTGTGTATCGATTAATGAAGGTGTAGCAATCTCCGATGGTGTGATTTCCTTTAGGGTGCCAGATGCAATGCATGTTTTCAATGTCTTCGTGCCTTCTGGGTTTGGAAAATTTCTTCAATTTGTCAGCCACCGCTACGGTGTTGTCGGGTCCACGCTTTCTTTCCTGATGCTTGATGTTTCGATGATTTTGCCTGTCCGGGTTGTCTCGGTTGTTTCTATCCGGGAACCTTTCTCGTGTTTTCTCCTCTGCAATGATCATCTTCTCTACTGTGCGTCTGAATTCTTCATTGTTTTTTGGGTTTTCTTTGCAAAAGTCCTGAAATTGCCACCTGGCCATGATTCCATGAGAGAAAGCTTCGATTACTTCTCGTTCGGTGATGTCATGTACTTGAGCACGTAGTTCGCCAAATCATCGATAGTAATCTCTAAGGCTTTCGCCCCCTTTCTGGTTGAGTCCTTTTAATTCTACGTGGGTGATGGAATGCGTAATGATACCCACGAAATTTTCATAGAAAGCTCTTTGCAAGTCCTCCTAGCCTCTGATTGACCCTGGGTTCAATTTATCGAACCATTGGAGGGGTATGGTTTCTAGGGCAATGGGAAAGAACAAGGTCTTGATATCGTCATCTCCTTCGGCTAGTTCAATCGATTGTGAGTAGATCCTAAGCCACTGCCTTGGTTCAGTCTTGCCATCATATTTACAAAGTGGTTGGACGGCTTGAACTTGTGAGGCGATCGTATCGGGCGATTCGGTTTGCAAAATAGGGAACCTATCGTATGCGTCCGGCTCTCTCTCAGATTCTCGATTCAGCCCCTCCTTCTAGCCAGCTATCGTTCTGGTGAGAGTAGTTCCGCAGGGCTATCCGGATGGGTGCTCGCTCCTCGATCTCCTCTTGATCGTTCGACTTGGTTGCTTTGACTATGGTCCCTTCTACTTTCTCTGTTGTGACTTCTGCTTGGCCCAAGTCTCTCGAAAGCGAACTTTCTTGGATTTTGATCTTCCTGACTATGAGATGTTGACCTGGCGGGTAGCCTCAAGCGGGTCCTTCTGTCGTGTGTTCTTAAGGCCGTTGACTGGAGAATATCCTGGTGCCGTCTTTGTTCTTCACTGGGCTGTGAGATTGCCCCGAGTTCTTCTAATGCTTCTCGGATCCTATTGTAGGGTTTATTTGCCGCATACGTCTTTCTCCGACTTCTTGCTCTGGTTTTCTTCTATTGTACTCGGCTAGATCTGACTCATATCTGATCCAAGCTTCTTTGTGCTGCCTGGCACGGCGTTGGCGTCCTTGCTTCAATTTGTTTCTTCTTTCTCTGGCTTGTTTCTAGCTCTCGGTTTCACCATCGTGCCCCTGGGTAAAGGGTGATATGTTGGATTCGGATTCATTTGATGACCTAATGTCGGGTGCTTCTAGAGGGGCCAACGGTGATTGGGGACGACGAACCATGAATACTTCTCGCGTGTGAAGTGTTCCGTTATTGACGTCGGCTTCCACGCTGTTAGAGTTGTTGAGAACTTCAGTAGAGGCTTTAGGGTCGTAGATTGAGTCTCCTTCTTGGTAGGGTAGAATCATTATCGTCGTCGTGTCGTCTAGTCAGGTACTGTTATCCTTAGGAACGGAGCCCGGCCAGTGGACGATGCAGTCTTGAGATGTTATAGTTAGTACGAGGCCTTTCTGAGCTTCTTTTAGTGGCATTCTGAGCACCGGATCGATAGATCTTTCGAGCTGTGCTTGATAAGATGTTGTCACGTTATGGAGCCCAAACGGAAAAGAACCCGGCTTCCCGAAAGAACTCTAAATGTTCTCCGAGTTGAATTCTTGATAGGTTGATGCCGCGTTCCGGAGCCCCGTTGGAAAAGAACTTGGATTATTGCAGAAAGAACTCGGGTAAGACTCCATCTCGGATGCGGAGCCTGAGTCCAAGTGGGATCCGGTTGGCCACGAAGTCTGAGTCGGATCAGACATCACAAGCCGCGCGAGTCTTCCGGCGAGTTGATCTGTCATAGTCGCCGAAACAGCGAGGTCTTCATGGTGATCCGAATCTTCGAGGAGACGGCCTCGGAGCTTGCCGTTGTCGTCCGCTTCGCAGATCCATGATCTGAAGATGAAAGTTGATCCTATTGAGAATATCATGCTGTCGAGGTCCGTCGAGCTTTCGGATGCAAATCCGCCAAAAGCCCCTACCTGGCGCGCCAGCTGTCGATGTTTCACCACCAATAGCCTACCACGGGGGTACCCAGGGCAATTGTTCGGGCTTCGGCGTATGTAGAACTCGGCGGTTAACGCAAGAGATAGTCGATTTATCCTAGTTCGGGCCCTCGACCGTGATCGAGTAATAGCCCTACGTCTAGTCGGCGTTAGCCTTTGCGTTAGATTGATCGTAATGTTGTATTGTGATCATTGTTGTTAGACCTTCTACCGATCTAGGGAGCCTTGCCCTCCTTTATATAGTCCAGGAGGCAAGAGTCCTAGTCGGCTTACAATGTAGAGTCCTAATAGGATTACAGGGTAACACTACTACTAGGATTACATGGGAGGAATCCTAGTCAAAGTAGATCTTTTCTCTTCCTTGCGGGGTATCCCGTGGGTCCCGCATCGACAGTCGCTCGCCGCGTGCACGCAGCCGCAAGGTGCTGCTGCCTCCACCGCCGCGGCAGCTCGCCTCGGGGGACCGCCCACGCCCACCCTGTCGCTGGAGCCATGCAGCCACTCACCCTGTGGCATCCCCACACCCCTCCGTGGCGTCGGGCTCCGAGTCGATGAGCCTCCATTTCGTCCAAGTAGCAAGTAGACGTTGCGCTTAAAAGTGCATGTTGCAAGAGTATGTTTCAAGTGTTTTAGATGTTTTCAGAAGTATGTTACAAGTGTTTCATATGGCAAATGTAGATCAGGATGTTACATATATTGCATTAATTTTACACATATGATGCAAGCATTTGTTCCCAATATTTCATCTATTTTTCAAACGTATGTTGCAAGCGTATTTATCTGAATGTTGCATATGTTTCAATTGTTTATTTGGATGTTACGTATGTTTGTAATGACTTTCAAGTGTTTTCAGGTGTTTTTGCGTGTGTTTCAGAAGCATGTTTGAAGTGTTGCATCTGTCTTCAGAGGTATGTTGTTAGTGTTGCATCTGGACGTTTCAAAACTAAATCGGGTGTTGCACATGTTAGAATGTGACCCACCTGTCGCGGCTGCCTGTTGCACCGCTGAGCAGGCGCATACCTCCAGGCGGAGGGAAGATGAGGGGGCCACTTGCCGCAGCCGCCTGCTGCAGCTGCTCGGGCGCTGCCGAGCTAGTGCAGACGTTCGAGCGAGGGAAGTAGAGGGGGCGCGAGGGTCAGGCGTGGCGCATACGTCGCATGGGGTCAGCCGGTCAGGCGACACACAGAGTGCAGGCACGGGAATTGGGTGCAAGCGTGGGCGTCCGAACTCGGGTGTCCGTCCAGACGTCCTGGCGCCAGGACTATCCTTTTTTGTGTGTTTCATCTTCACGAGCAGCTTTCTCGTGGAAGCTAATTTGTTTTCGTTACCCGTTTGACAAAACAACTTCACTTGATGGACAAAACAAAGAAATGACTACAGTGCCCTTTGCTTTTTGTTTCTTCTATTTTTCTCATCTCCTTCTCACGGGTCTTTTTTTCTCCGCACGTCTTCTTCCCGATGCAGCCGGGGTATGCTACATGTATGACATGGCCGAATCATATAAACATGCGTCGCAGGCAAGCTCACGAACTCATCTTGAATGGCACATATGTCTTGGGCGAGTTGAGCACGCCCTGCACGGAGGCCGGCGGCGACAGTGATGAGAAAGCAGACGAAAGCTGAGCCTCTGCAGCGCTGTCCACTTGGGCTGAAGAAGACAGCGAGCGGCCACGAGGCGATGCTGCTGGCGATGCTCAGGCGTGGCTCCTGCGCCCTTGGCAGCCGAGCCCCTGGTGGGCTGATTGCATTGACTTCATCACCGTTCTGTTGGGCTTGGTGCTCTCTTGTTGTCAGCCACAATAATTCTTGGAAACAACATGATCACTGATCATCTCGTGAGTTCATCTCACCGGGTGTTTAACTTCGATGACCACTATGATCACTGGATTGTCCAACCGTTCTGATCAATTTATCTAGTGAAGCATCTATTCATATACTTTTGCTTCATGCATGGTTCACCAAAAAAAAAATATTTTCTTTCATGGATTCAATCGGGCTTCAAATCATTTTGATGTCCGCGTGGTCTGTGTTTGAGTTATGCTCACCCAAAGTTCATAAAGGAATTTGTTTCTTTGGGCCGTAAGAAAATAAAACATTATTGCTGGCCCAGCATAAAGAAATGTGAATGTAGCCTACCCTGTTAGTGCCTGTGTTTTATCTAGTGGTGTGCATCACAGTGATCTGCCTTTATGTGCAAAAAGAAGAGAAGATACCGTAATAGACATCGAGATTGAATAGAATCATTTTTGCCAATAGTTCAGTTTCAAAAGGTCGACAATCTGCTTCCCAATATAAACAACGAAGGCTTCAAATAGCAACAAATGCACTAATTGACAGACAAGTCAACAATCCTTACATAAACCATGGTGTGAATCAGACAATCAGCACTTAATAAACAATGATGTGATTCATCAATTACTCACATACTCAACAATTGCTTCGAGGATACTTCACTGACATTCTGACAACAGCGGAACACAACAACCACATTGTGGTTCAGGATCATGCAAATAAAGTGGGGGGAAAAAGTATACTTTACAACCAGATAATTCAATTATCTCCAAGAATTGCTAGTGAAATCTACAGCTTCAAATGTGGCTGCAATTATTTAGCCGCTCAACATCAAGAATGCAAGGTTCATAAATTGCGGTAAGTAATAAATTTATGGCAACTTCGTGATCAACTCTTGAAAATCAAACACCACCCAGTCAGCTTCTGCTGCGACTGGCTCTCTCATCTGAACACCAGCATAACAGATGAACAAGTCTGCTCCGCCAGGTTGCCGAGCCTGCAAAGACATGGGCAAATTAATGTGACTGTATATAGTATTTTTATTTTGGTACAGTACTGTAAATAAAATTTCTATACACTGATATATCAGAGAAGTTTTGTATCATTAAGCTGAAATATTCACTAAAGAACAGCTGCCAGATGTTACTAGCCTCAATGCAAACCAATTACTTTCCACATGCCTTAAGCAGAATTAACTCTTTGGCCCACTAATTGTATCCTGATAAATTGTATTGCAGAAGTCACTCATCTATTATTTATATCTCATGCTACATGAACAAGAGAAACAACATTACAAAATTTGAGCGATAAACACAAACAGTGAGAAAGGTTTGCATTCCTCATTAATCGAATCATCCAGGAAGCATCCATATCATTACAAAAATGATGTTAGTGTTAACAACTACTGTTTACCCAAAGACATATCCATATTCATATCTATTGTCAGGATAGAACTTTTAAAGGCATTATCGAGCCATATACCTCCAGATCAGTTGCACCATCACCAATCATAACAACTGTCTTGTAGGCATGATCCTGAACAGAAGAAACAAATGTTAGCACACTAGTAAGAAGTAAAAAGCTGCAACCAAATGATATACAGTTTAAATAGACCTGTTTTATTTGCTGCACTGCTTTTCTTTACCCACACTGTGCGAAGTGGGCCCTGTGGGATCAAATCCAGCATACTCCCCGGAAGTGCCAAATAACAATTGGCTTGCAATGATGTTTTCAGGAGGAAGACCAAGCTCAAATGCCACAGGCTGGAAACAAGACAAACATAAAAGTGATGATTGTGGGCCACTCAATGATAACCCATTTTATATGCATGTGAGAATCACTTGCACATTACATTCATCACATTCGCAACTGAAAAAATAAAGTATGGTTTAAAGAAATTGTACTTTTTGGATCTTGTATCAGAAGTTAGATCCCTGTTTATTGTTGCAACTGATAATGTAGGTCTATCTTAAACTACAGATACAATAAAATACAGTTTGCTCCATCATCAGAATATAACGTGCATACAAATTCGAGTACAAGCCAAAACAAATGAATCACGCTATGATATCACAGGACCTACCTTGATCATTTGTCGGAAGCCTCCTGACACAAGGAACACATCAATATTATTGGATTTTAACTTCTTAACTAAATCAGCCATTCCAGGAGAAATCCTGCAAACCAAAAGACAGTTCTATTGATAATCTTGTGAGTGGACCAATGAACTGTACAATGCTGGTTTGTAAGTACAAACACAATAGTTAACTCTATTGCAATGCGGGGAAAACAAAGAAGTAGATCTCGCATCAGTTGGCTCAGTGAGGGCGATGCCAATACAGCTTTGTTTCATGCACATGCTCGCCACCGAAAGAGGAAAAACTTTATTAGTAAACTTATAAGTGATGATGGGGTAGTTCTCACCAAGCACGAAGACAAAGAACATAATATTTTTGCTTTCTACAGCAACCTTTTGGGAAGGAGCATTGACAGGGAAGTGACAGTTAACTTGACAGAACTAGACATGCCAAACCTTGATCTTAGTGAATTGGAAGCTCCTTTTTCTGTTGAGGAGGTCTGGAAAACAATCAATTCCCTACCGTCAGACAAGGCCCCTGGCCCTGACGGCTTCACAGGAAAGTTCTATAAGGTTTGCTGGCCGATCATCAAATTGGATATAATGGCTGCTATTTCAGCTGTTTGGAGCAGAAAGTTTGCTAATTTTGAGTTACTCAATTCAGCCTTCATCACCCTGCTGCCAAAGAAAGAGGACGCTATAAGCATCAAGGAGTACAGACCTATCAGCTTGGTGCACTCTTTTGCCAAGCTCATAACAAAAATCCTAGCTAACAGGCTTGCTGCTTCTCTGAATCAGTTGGTCTCCACTAATCAAAGTGCATTCATCAAGGGTCGTTTCATTCTAGACAACTTCATGTTGGTTCACCATACTACAAAATTCTTGCACCAACAGAAACAAGCTCGTATCCTCTTAAAATTGGATATCAATAAGGCGTTTGATTCGGTGTCATGGCCTTTTCTATTAGAAGTTATGAGACGTTTGGGTTTTGGATCAGTTTGGTGTGATATTATCAGCGGCTTGCTTGCCACTTCATCCACTCAAGTGCTATTGAATGGTTCTCTAGGGGAAAGGATACAACACCAGCGTGGTCTAAGGCAAGGGGATCCATTGTCACCGATGCTTTTCATTTTGGTCATGGATGTGCTATACTACTTGGTGAAGAAAGCTGCAGATGAGAATTTGTTGCAGCCACTTGCCAGAAGGGCATTGGAGCATAGGATTTCCTTGTATGCAGATGATGTGGTGTTCTTCTTGAGTCCAACAACCAGTGACATTGAAATAACCTTGGATATCTTGCAACTTTTTGGAAACGCATCCGGCCTTACAACAAACCTTCAGAAAAGTAGTGTTCTCCCTATAAGGTGTAATGTGGATGACAGAGCAGTCCTGCAGGAAACCCTACCTTGTCAGCTTTCCGACTTCCCTTGTAAATACCTAGGGGTCCCCCTTTCTCCTCATAAGCTATCCAAAGAACAGGTTCAGCCCATCATCGAGAAAATTGAAGATCGACTACCAAGCTGGAAAGCTGATTTGCTTACGAAAGCTGGAAGAGTGGTCTTGGTTCAGTTTGTTCTCACCTCAATGTTGATCTACATCATCATGGCACTTGATCTACCCTCATGGGCTTTGAAGGCAATTGATAAGATAAGAAGGGGTTTCCTATGGAAAGGAAGAAGAGATGTCAGGGGGGGGCACTGTTTGCTAGCCTGGCCAAAGGTCACTAGATCTCTTAATCTGGGAGGTCTTGGTATTTCTAATCTTCAAAACTTGGGATGGGCTTTAAAACTCCGATGGTTATGGCTGCAGAAAACAGAACCTGACAAAGCCTGGGTTTTTTTCCCCATCCAAGCTCATTCTCAAGTCCAAGCATTCTTTGCTATGGCTGTTGACACAGTAGTAGGCAATGGAAAAAATACTCGTTTTTGGACAGATAGATGGTTGCTTGGTCAGAGCTTAGAACAGGCCATGCCACATTTGTTTAGCGCTATAGCAACCAGAGCAAGGAAAAGATCAGTTTACGATGCTATCACGGGGGGAAAATGGGTTTCTGATATAAGAGGTGCTTTAAGTGTGCCTGTTCTGATTGAATACCTTCACCTTTGGGGGCTTTTGTCAAATGTGGTACTGCATCCTGACGTGGAAGATACACATATCTGGAAACTTTCAGCTTCCGGTATGTATTCTAATAAATCAGCTTATGAGGCCTTGTTCATTGGAGCTACTCATTTCAGTCCTTGGGAGTTGATCTGGAAGAGCTGGGCCCCAGGGAAGTGCAAGTTCTTCATGTGGACAGTAGCTCACAATAGATGTTGGACAGCTGACAGACTAGCACGTCGAGGTCTTGATCACCCAACGCAGTGTCCACTCTGTGATCAGGCTGGTGAAACAATAGACCACCTTCTGATCTCTTGTGTCTTCGCCCGGCAAACATGGTACAACATTCTGCAATCTTTTGGACTGCAAGATGTGGCTCCACAAATGGTTGATTTGATTTTTGTGGACTGGTGGGAAGGTGCTTGCAGCAGGCTTTCTGGTCAAGTGAAGAAGGGGTTCAATTCCATTATTATTTTGGGAGCTTGGTTAATTTGGAAGCATCGAAACCATTGTGTTTTTGATGGTGGAACTCCTAGCCTAGCTAGGGTCCTCTCAGCTTTTAAGGAAGAAGCTCAGCAGTGGGCAGCAGCAGGGGCTCGAGGAGTTTCTTATCTCCTTGCCCTGGCTCCTACCTCCTAGCTCTTTTTGGGTCCGGTGGTTTTTTGGTCCTGCCTTATAGTTCTCTAGAGACACAACGTAGTTTGGGTTCTTAGGGTGGGTTGCAGACCCTTTTCTCTATAACAGTTTTTTGTTTCTGTGTTTTTGTAACAGTTTTTTGGGGCTCTTTTCCCCCTCCTTTTTCTTCTTAATATATTGATGCGCAGTTCTCCTGCGCGTTCGAGAGAATAAAAAAAGAGTGAGTTCTCTCTTGGTTTATTATTGTATTTAGGGAAATCTTAGGGCACTACAATAAAAGGCATAAGGCAAACTGCCCAAATGATAATTCTGTGGTTGGCTGTACAGATTTAAAGTACAAACTCTACTTTTTTTTTGTTACAAATTACTAATTACTTTTTCTTTGCACAGAGTTAAGTATAAGGGTGGAAACAGCAAAGGGACAAACACCTATAGCACATACCCATTATTTCCAAAAGGTAAATAGTAGAGGTGCAGAATCCAAATAGATAAAAATGGAAGGCCAAGCAATGACGTTAAAATAGTGGCTACCATACAGACTAAAATTAAGTTTTGAATAGGTGAGTTTACCTTGGTGGCCGCCTCTTCAGGCACTCCTCCACCTGGGAGAGAGAAGGCTTGATTAAAGACAGCCTGGCTGCCAGCGCCACCTCAAATGGGACAGTCCCTGTCATGGCCCTGAGAACATTAAGCCAAGGTCAGTTCTTCCCTGAAAAATCAACAGTCCAGATGAATCAATCTACAGAATGGAGAATTTACTTTGCTGTCCATTCAGCAACAGCTTTCCCTGCCCCACAGAAATCAGCAAGCTCGTCAATGCCCTCATCCAGGATGACCGTGCTATCAACATCGAAACATACCGCATCAGCATTGCGCAATGTCTCAATAGCCCCTGTAAACATGCAGGCAAGCAATAAGCAAGTTACTCCCAAGTCATTCAGTGTAGTTAAGCACTCTGGCATGGACGCTGGTCAGCCGCATGGTAGACTATCCTAATTAAACATCGCTTGGAAGGCTTCCAATCCAAATAAGAAAAAAATGAAGAACCTTTGGAAGGCAGGGTATTGGCCAGAACCGCGGAGGACCCGTCCTTAGAGACCTCCAGTGCTGCTGCCAGTAGATTACGGCTCTTAGAAAGTTTGGCACAAAGAAACAGTGGGCTTGTCAAACGAACTGGCACTTGTGGTGGCTGAGAGGACGACGGCCGAGGAAGTGACGGCGAACTCCTCGGACCAGCACGCAAGCTGATCAGGCCGCCATACCATGCGCACCTGCAAATCAGACAAGGCGACCTGAAGTTGGAATGACAGCAGGATAGGTTGCGTCCTGATTCCTGGAAGCTCTGACTGGCACAAAGCATCGAACACCTCACGCGCGTGCGTGGTAACCAAAGGTCCCAACAAACCGAGTGGAGATCTCCCCGCTTGAACAGTGAAAATCCACAGGGGAATGATCCGGAGAGTGAAATCAGGACGAAGAACGGATCACGAACTCACCTGCGCCAGGAGATTTGATGCGAAGTGAGGAACGCGCGCCGCCGATGTTCCTTGCTCGTTGAAATCCCAGACCAGCTGCTGCGGGTGGCAACTGCCTACTCTGTCGAGTAAAATGCACCAGCAGCCCCGACAGGGCCCAAACTCTCAAAGTGCATTTCTAGGTCTTAAACGCCGGGTGTGTTACGTAGGTTCTTAAATTTGGTATGGGGTATTATTTAAGACCATAAACTTTCAAAATGCACATCTTCATCATTTAATTTGGATTTGGCAGAGTGCATCATCTAGGTTCTCTAAACATAAAAATAAATAAATAATTTAGGCTTAGGGTATATATTTATATTTATATTTATATAAAAACTAACCTTTAAAGTATAAAAATAAATAAAATTTTGCACCGCCTGGTTCGAATCGAACCCAGGGCTCGGGGTCCAGTGTCTTATGCTTTAACCGCTGCGCTACTATAGGGAATTCATTAAAGATTGTTTTATTTATTATTTTAACCTTTTAGGGCAATATATACTTTAAAATAATTAGTTATATAAATATAAATATATTTTAAAACTTAAGATATTTTGATTCTTCAAGAAAGTTGGAATGACTTATAATTTGAAATGGAGAGAGTATATTTTAAAGGGTTCGAACCCAGGAGAGACAAAATTTTTATTTATTTTTATACTTATTAGGTTAGTTTTTATATAAATGTAAATATATACTTTAAAATAATTAAAGTTAGTTTTATCGGTTAGTTTTAAAGGTTAGTTTTTATATAAATATAAATATAAATATATACTTTAAAATAATTAAAGTTAGTTTTTATGTAAAGTTAGCTTTTATATAAATATATACTTTAAAATACATACTTTAAAATAATTAAAGTTAGTTTTTATATAAATATAAATATAAACTTTAAAATTAGTTTTAAAGGTTAGTTTTTATATAAATATAAATATATACCCTAAACCCTAAATTATTTATTTATTTTTATGTTTAGGGACCTAGATGACTCACTCTGTCAAGTTTAGGGATCTAGATGACACAGTCTGTCAAGTTAAATGACCTAGATGTGCATTTTGGAGTTTAGGGACCTAGATGACACCCCTCGCCAAGTTTAAGGACCTAGATGACACACTCTGTCAAGTTTAAGGATTTAGATATGCATTTTGATAGTTTGAGGACCTAGATGACACCACATGCCAAGTTTAGGGGTCGCTTGTGCATTTGACTCCAACTTTGTGCCATCAGTTGTTGCCCAGGGCCCACCCACCTACCCGCGGTGGGTCCTAGAGAACAGTCTCTCAACTCACCAAGTGGGTCCTAGAGGACAGATGTGGGCCCACAACACTCTCTCTGGAATTATTTGTAGCATCCTCCTCTCAATTCCGTGCCGGCGCCGGCAGTGGCAATGACGGCGCGAGGGGGAAGGAGGCGGCGGCGGCGGCGGCCGGCGGGAGTCCACCGCCGCGCGCAGCCACAGGGGTGGGCAAGCGGGTGGGCATCCATTGCAATACACCCCCCGCCCCCCGCGTCCCAGCCCGACAACCAGACGCGGGTGAGACTTTTCTTACTTCGCCTGCGCCTATCTCGCGCCGCCACGCAGCGGTACCGAGGATTTGGTCAGCATGGGTTCCGAGCGCCATTCTCCTCTCCGCGAATTGACTCCGGATCCCTTGGTTTGCCCTCTGCGCGGCGCTGAGCAAGGCATTCTCCTCTCCACGACTTGACTCCAGATCCCTGCGCTGAGCAAGGTGGTGGTGGTGGAGGTTTCCCTCGTCGCCATCTCGCCAAGTCTGCGGTACTGCTGGTCAGGTCGCGGCTAGGGAAGAGAACGGAACGTCGCCAAGAGGTTGCCTACGCGAAGGCCTGGGTAATTCGTTTTCGCCATTCTCGATTGCTAATTGGGATATACAATCTTTTGAGGCGTGAAGGGTGTGGGTAGCAGTGTTATCTCTCTTTTTGTGTTGAACCTGAGATTTTCCTTGTTCGGATGTAACCCATCCTCTGCTGTAACTGATCTTTGATCTTCAATGATAAGACTGGGGCGGTGCCCTTTTACTCTAAAAAAAATAGCCTGATTTGGAGAAATTTGGGGTCTTGTGGTATTCAGACTTGTGAATTTACATTGCAGGAGCCAGGAATCATCGAGGCAACATCCTGACAGTTCAGCCAAGTGCACTCTGTTGCCTGATGTGCGCGCTTTCATAAGCTCCTCGTTTGTCTCCAAGCTGGCACACACCTGAAATTACTGGCAGCTTTAGCCAAGTGCTACTTGATTGGCAGCTCAATTGTTGGTTCATGTAACAGTAGACAACATGCTGACAGTTCACTGAAGCTGTATTTCACTATTGCCGATGGCATAGTTTGTTTGGATGCCTGAGATATCTGAAAGTAATTGCAGCACGGAGCAAGTTCACGGAGCAACAGTTGAATCTTTGCAATAACACAGTGAGAGATGGATGGGTTCATGGCGAGTGCAGCGACGGGGGTGATGAGCTCCCTTCTTGCCAAGCTCGGCGAGCTGCTCGGGGAGGACTACAAGATGCAGAGGGGCATGAGGCGCGAGATCGCGTTCCTCAAGGATGAGCTGAGCAGCATGAATGCACTGCTTGAGAGGCTAGCTGACTCGGAGACGCTTGATCCGCAGACGAAGGAGTGGAGGGATCAGGTGAGGGAGATGAGCTACGACATTGAGGATTGCATCGATGATTACATGCGCCAGCTGCAGAATGAGCCACAGAGGCATAGTGGGATCACTGGATTCTTCTTCGGGTATGTCCAGAAAGTGAAGGATCTTGTTACCTGCCATGAGATTGCCGAGCAGAATCAGGAGCTCAAGGCTCCAATTGTTGAGGCGGGCCACAGAAGGAAGAGGTACAAGATTGATGAAACAGTTAATTTTGGTGGCGTCAATGTGATCCCTGTGGACCGTCGGTTGCCAGCTCTCTATGCAGAATTGGGTGGCCTTGTTGGTATCAATGCTCCTAGAGATGAGGTCATCAAGCTAGTTGACGATGGGGCGCAGGGGGTCAAGGTGGTGTCTATTGTGGGTTGTGGAGGATTAGGAAAGACTACAGTTGCAAATCAAGTTTACAAAAATATTGCTAAGAAATTTGATTGCCAAGCTTTTGTGTCCTTGTCCCAAAATCCTGATATGGTGATCATCTTTCGGTCCACACTGTCTCAAGTCAAGAAGGATGAGTGCCATAGCACCAGCTCATGTGACAAGGAACTTCTCATTAGTGAATTGAGGGATTTCCTAAAGGACAAGAGGTATCTTAAATTTATCTACACTAGCTTGGAATACTGTTTAACCTTGTTTGTTTAAGGAAATTCTCTTTATATTTTTTCTGTTAGTTAATGTTTTTATTATTTTATCGTGCATTGAGGCATTGTTTCAAGTCACAACCTTTTAGAAATTACCTTTTGTTATTATGTCACAAACTGAATATTCATCCATACATCAAACTGTTTAGATTCTCCTGAAATCAATACTCGTCTTAACAGGAATTCAAAGACAATAAACACTAGAAATTAACTTCTCCATAACATATTACATTAGGACTCTTAAAGTTAAAGGTGAGATATGAGGTTTTTCTCTCACTTTTCCACAATATAGTGTGCATATATCAATCTACAGGTTTCAACTGAATCATAGTTCTATTTCATATTTAGGTATTTTATTATAATTGATGACATATGGAGCACCCAAGCATGGAAGACAATTAAATTTTCTTTGGTTGAGAATGCTTGTGGCAGTAGAATAATAGTGACAACAAGAATTGGTACTATTGCCAGATCTTGTTCATCTCCATTCCATGATCTCGTATTCGAATTAAGGATGCTAAGTGCAGATGACTCCAAAAGGCTATTCTTTAGAAGAATTTTTGGCTCTGAGGACAAGTGCCCTCACCAGCTCAAAGAGGTTTCAGTCGAAATAATTAAGAAGTGTGGTCGTTTACCATTGGCAATCATTACTATGGCTAGTTTGTTGACTACTAAATCATATACCAGAGCTGACTGGTTGAAGGTTTGTAATTCAATTGGTTGGGGGCTTGAGAAAAATTGTGATGTGGAGGAAATGAACATGATATTATCTCTATGAGTTATAATCACCTTCCTCATCATTTAAAGACTTGTTTATTGTATCTAAGTATGTTTCCAGAAGATTATGTGATCGAGAGGGATTATTTGGTAAGAATGTGGATAGCAGAAGGATTCATTAGTGCACATGGTAGAAGAAATTTGGAGGATGAAGGTGAATTCTATTTTAATGAACTTATCAACAGAAGCTTAATGCAACCGGTAGATTTCCAGTATGATGGTAGAGTATACGCATGCCAACTTCATGATATGATTCTTGATCTCATTACATGTAAGGCAGTTGAAGAAAATTTCGTAACTGTTGTTACTAATAGAAAACAAATGTTGCCCTCACATGGCAAGGTCCACCGACTCTCACTTGAATGCCATGATCTTGAAAATTTAAAAGCAAATCCCATTGTTACTACTCATGTTCGGTCCCTGCACATATTTAGATACTCTGAAGGAATGCTTCCTCTTTCAGGCTTTCGGTCCCTAAGAGTGCTTGATCTAGATGGTAATGAGAATTTGGAAAGCTGTTATCTGGAAGATATAGGGAAGTTATTTCAGTTGCGATACCTACGGATTAAGTCAAGCAATATTACACTTCCAGAAAGGATAGGAGAGCTTCAGTGTTTGGTGATACTGGATCTTCTGAATTGTCTTAATCTAGGTGAATTGCCTACAAGTATTGTTGAACTTCGGCACTTGAAATGGTTAATTGTTCCTCGAATGAACTTGCCAGATGGAGTTGGGAACATGCAAGTGCTAGAGTTTCTTTCACTTATAGTTGTTGACTACACTACCTCAACATCCCTATTGCAAGAGCTGGGCAGCTTGACCAAATTGAGAACTCTTGAGTTGGATTGGCGCATCAATCCCCTGCACAGGGATAAAAAAACATACGAGGACAATTTTGTTTCTTCACTTGGCCAACTAGGCAGTTCAAACCTTCGCTGTTTAACACTCATCAGTCCATGGTCACTAGACTTCTTGTTGGAACCTTGGTCCCCAACTCCACATCTCCTTCAGAAGTTAGTGATCAAAGGATGGCATCTCAGCAACAAACCTCTCCTACAAGGTTTGTAATTCCAGTTTGGATGTCCTCGCTAACCAACCTCACCTACCTAGACATTGAGGTTAAAGTTAGACAGGAAACTCCTCAGATCCTTGGAGATTTCCCTGCCTTACAATTCCTGAAGTTGTGCTCAAATGCAGCAGGATCTGAGGTAAGGTGCCTTGTTGTCAGCAACAACGGATTCCGATGTTTGAAGAAGTTCAGGTTTGTTGGTTGGGTAAATATGATGTTCAAAGAAGGAGCTGTTCCAGTGCTTGAAACTCTTGAATTTCAAATCATAGTGCATGAGGTGCAGACTGCATGCAGGTTTGGTCCTCCAGATTTTGGCATCAGCCACCTCTCCACCCTAAGGAATCTTGTTGTCAATGTTCACTGTCAGGGTTCCAGAGTTAAAGAGGAGGAGGCACTGGAGGCTGCTATCCGGAGTGCAGCCAGTATGCTTCCTAATCATCCTACACCAGCTTTGCACAGATTTCTTGAGTCAGAACTCGTAAAAGAATGACACAGTAATGGAGAAGCAGAGCCATGAGGAGGACAAGAAGCAGCTAATAAGCCTTGCCTTTAGGCCTGCATCTACAAATCGTATATGGATATGTCCGAACTATTTATCAGTGCTTTATTTTCTTTATTTATATTGATTTAACTGTGTAAGAACACATGTGCAAGATTTAGATAGTTTAACTGGTTGAATAATTACCCATCCTAGCTCTGGAACATGTACTAGTTACAATAAAGCCACTTGACCAAGGCTCCAACCAAATCTTCCCTAACAAAAATTTTCTTTCTTTTATATCTTCAAATGTTGCATTGAATGAATCACGAAATATTAAGTAGGGATGTGGTTTCCTTTGGCCAATATATATAGCAGATGCAAATGGGGAAATGGAAGAAGAGCTGTGACCCGAGCTGATGAGGGAATTATGGGTGCAGTACGTATGCGGCTATTGTTGTGTGCTCTTTCCAAAGAATGCAGTGTTCACTTGATCAGATCAGTATCTTGTGTTAGTCTTGTGAGGCATCAGGATTAGAGATGCGAGCAAATGGTAAGGAGTGACTAGTATGAAAAAGTATGACTTCTCGAGTAGTATGATAGGATGGTAAGACAAATGGTAAGGAGCCTCTGCTTATCCCCAGCATTGTGGCTTGTCTCAATGTTTTTGGGTTGAACTGGTTTGTACGTACAACTCCACTGCTGGTTACCTATGATTTATTTCCATGGTGGAAATAAAAACAAGGTCTGGTACAGCAGAAGCAAGGTTGGGCGACCGAGAGGTTGAGCTTTTGCCAGATGTTGTGCACTCATTGATGGGAAGCGCTTGACAGAGCAATTTTAGTTTTGCAAGGCAGGGCATTGGCAGGGCGCGTGTGTGCGGACGAAGTGGGTCGGCACAGCTGCAGCCCGTGCATAACAGCACCTAAGTAGTGTTTGCGAATTTACGAGTTCATTGATGGTCAAACGCTGTTCCGGTGCGAATTTGCTGTTTACTTACTTACAGTAATACTTGAAACAAATGGTAAAAATGCATTGGGCCCTGAAAAGTTATAGGAGAAAACCATAAAATTGTGAACTATTAAAAAGGATTAGGTGGACACATAGAAAAGCAATTTCATTCTTTCATCAGAACGAGAGTAACTAAAATATACCTGCCCATCAACCCGTGCTCCATCATGGTATAGATATATAGATTGTTATGTTGCATAAATTATCACGTGGATAAATTTAGTACATACAACAAATCAAAACTGATCATATTTACTGTTTTTTACTTGAACACGATACCCATTTAAATATCCTATAATCTCTATTTGGTGTGATAACTTTGGCAATTACTCCCTTCATTCTCTTTTTTATTAGGCAAAGGCTGATTTCTCATTTTTGAAGGTATATTAGGTGTGGGGGGTACATAATAAGGCAGAAGTCGAAAAGCAAACATCAGCACTTACTCAATGGCAGCACGAAGCGTTTTCGTGCTATGAGCGGACGGGACGCGTGCTTGGTTGGTGTTTTCTAAAAAAAAAAAAAAAAAAAAACCCCGGGGGTACCAAACGTTACTTGTATGCATATATGGATGGATAAAGCACAGTGCTAAGTGCTTCGTTAATGCTCCACCTCTCTATCAGAAATTTCTTGTATCCCTAAAAAAGAGATTGGAGGGAGCAATCCATATGTATTTCTTTTTTTTAAATATGTATTTAATTAGATCTTAACTAAAGTGAAATCATCTCTTGTTGACTTGTTCCTAGCAGTTCTGTGACGTCATGAATCTATATTTTGGCTAGTATCTTCAAATGTTTGTTAGAACTTGAACGTTATATCGTCAAATGCTCGTTTGGAAAGAAAATGAAGGAAGTAGTACTAATATCTATTCACAACCAAAATTTTAGACTTCTCCTAGTCACGTGGGTTTATAGTGGTTTAGCATTCAAAATTTAGTATAAACTTTTTCCTACCAAATGCCTCCTAGTTCCCGTATGCTATGATTAGTGGTAGTGTTTTATTATTATTTAAAAACACTAGGAGAATTCCACCGTAGTTATTGGATCCACAGCGGTGGATAGGAGGTGGTTTCCTTTGACCAATATATATAGCCGATGCAAATGGAGACGTAGAACATGAGCCGTGACCCAAGCTGAGAGAAAGGTGAACAAAGCGAACTATGGGTGCAATAAGTATGTGGTCAATATTGTCTGCTCTTTCCCAAGAATGGAGTCGTCACTTGGTTAGAGTAGCCTGTGTTAGCTAGGCTTGTGAGGCATTGGGATCACACATGCGACCATAGGGTACAGTACATGAAAAAAAGAAATCTGGGCACAACTGGCACAACATGGTCGGGTGGTACACATGTGATAGTTTTCTAATTAATAATAAACTCTTTCTTTCGTGTAATGCTACGTACTCCATTTACTTACTCGGAGGTGTTATCTCAAACAAATCCGGGTCATTGATTTTCAAGATTTTTTAAATTAATTCATTAAGTAACCTAAAGAAAGAGAAAAATGAATTATTATTCAATCCCCTCGTGACAAAGTGGGCGTGCGGCCCTTGTTCGTGTGATTAACATGAAAAAAGCTTGCCCGGGAAACAAATAATGTGAATTGCATAAAAAAGATTAGCCGTTTATGTGAGTTATGTCCAAACTTGCAAAATTAAAAAATCTACCACATCTATTAGATCACATATGTATCAATTAGATCTATTTTTTTATATCTACAACTTTCCTTATTTCTCATATTTTACAATTTTAAATAGTAAATAAATATATATTTCAACCATTACCTTTTAAGATGTAATAGATGATCATAACCACCCGATCTAATTAAATGAGCAGGCTCAAAGTTATTTGGGAGTACCATAACAAAGTCTTTTTTTTATCAAACCAATTTTCATCTCCATGGATGAACGTGAGCTTTCAATCCCCTCTAATTAATTTTATCTTTACATGCAAGGTGTCCAATCATCCTCCAGTAAATACCCCACTAACTTTCATTTCATTTAATGCTATATACCCATTGTTCACATCACTCTGTTATTTTATTTTCTATCAATCAACACATAAGTCCTCAACATATGCTATTTGTTTCATCACCTTATCCTTCTGTAACGTGACCTACTCCCTCTGTTTCAGAACATAGCTTTGGTTAGGATTTCTCAGACAGACTAAGGATGTAAAAGGAATAGTCAAATATGACCTTCCATGATACTGTGCATATCAATAGAAAGTAATATCTCTTGTGTGATTAGCCGATGACCTGCTTGTGCTATTAGCATGGAACCTGCCATATAATGTACATGTGTTCACAGGTAATTTTGACCATTCATATCCTTTCTATCCTACGTGAGAACTCAAATGATGCTATATTCTGGCACAAAACACAAACGCTAAACAAAGCTACATTCTAGAACGGAGGAAGTAATATTGAATTGCCGTTTTTTTATTGGATTCCTTCATTAGCTTTCTTGTTTTTTTTTACCGGAGCTCATATGATATAACATACTAGTCTAGAACATGCATATATAACAAATTTATTTTTAAGAAAGTACCATTGCAACACATGGGGTATCTTCTAGTATGTATTTGTTTGAAATATTAATTTATCATCTCTTGTTGTATGCCATTTTTGTGACACCATAAATCTATATATTGGGAAAAAAGTCTACTTATCTACTTTACCACCTCACCTATAAAACAAGATATTCTGCCCCGAGTCCTCGAATGGTCTTGTAGGGTTGTTTGGATACCGTACCCTACCACACTGCACTACTACAGAACTGACCTTCACTGTCGACCCATCACTGTCGGTTGCTTATGAATTGACAGTGAGTGTTTACCGGACCATCACTGCCAGTTCGTGGCTTGAACCGGCACTGTTGGTTCAAGCCAAGAACTGCCAGTTCCTATTACTGCCAGTTCTTGCATGACCCGACAGTGATAGACCGCAGGAAAAACATCATAATTTTCTCATATGATGTCTAATGAAGACGAATGTTATACCAAAATTATTGTACTTGACAAGATCAACTTTGTACTTCAAACTTTTTTTTTTATTTGAGATCATTTGGATGTCTAAATATGCACCACAAGATTTTGTAGAGTTAATACCAAGAATCCATATGATCTATAGTCACAAGTGAGTTGTCCAACTTTGTAGTGCAGTGGTAGGTAATGATCTCAGATGGGAGAAATGACCAAAAAAAGATGTAGATCTAAAAAAATTATGCAACTCTGTAGTTGACAACTTTTTCATTTGAAATCAACTATCCAACAAAATTACATTTGGATTTCACACATTTGAAAATCGAATTTTTCGAATTACCTCAGATGAAGAAACAACCAAAAGAAAAGTTGTAGAGCTCAAAAAGTTGTACACTCTGTAGTTGTCAACCTTTTCTTTTGAAATCATCTATCTAAGGGAAATTACATTTGAATTTCCTCACATTTGAAATTCAAATTGTTGAAATGACCTCGGATGGAGAAATGACCAAAACAAAACTTTGTAGTCGACAACTTTTTATTTAAATCCAGTTTAAGGTCTCAAATACTCATTTCAAAACTAGATGACATAAAATAGGGTGGACAAATTAATATCCCAAATGGACATAAGTGTCTTATGGGTGGAGTGGTTAGGGGACGAACGCACGAAGCCTAAGGTCATGGGTTTGAGTGTCGGCGGCCATGAAATGCGTGTTTTTCGCACGAAAAATCGCATGCCCCTGTGGATCGCCTAGCGGGGGTCCTGGTATTGAAAAAATACTTTTTGCTATTTTTTCAACCCAAATTTGGTTTTCTAGAAAACCACCATTGCAGGTTCGAGAACCGGCATTGGCGAGCCCCATCATCACTGCCATTTTGTACTGCCGGTTCAAAATACCAAAAGTGATAGGGTTTTTGAATCGGCAGTGAAGGACTGTGCTGGGTAGTGTAGCCTAAGCACACAAACCACGGCCTAATGAGCACCACCCTGTCTCCGCCTCCAACTCATGACACTCTTCGATGACATTGA